ATGCATTTATGCAATAGTTATAAAGTGATATACGCCAAAATATAATAAGCAAAAAGATTATGTATCAAGTCACACGTGCCATCACTCACGTGATTGGCTTGCTGGGCACCTATGACTAGCAGTTCATACCCAACGGCGCACCTTTCACCGCTTTGTACGGTGCAGGAGGATGGTCGTGTCGTCCGAGGCGTCGCATTAATGTGGTTTGCCACATCGACTTTGAAGCTCCACGTTGGTGCTATCATGGCTGTGGACTACTGCCAAAAGGCAAGCTACCAAATTATGCCCTATCATTCTCTCCCCCCCCAGAAAGCCATGCTTCGACTCCTCTTAGAGGGGCTCAGGGCATGTCTTGGTGCTTTCGCCTGAGTGAGTCGGCTATCATACGAGAATTGTTAGCTTGATCACTGGTTGATGCTTGGCTGGTCATAAGCAAATGACGAATGACTGCATGATTGGCCGAGTAGTGTGCTCGGGCGTTGAAAACTAGTGTGGTCAAGCACCATAGCTTAGGTTCAGGAGACTTATGTGGCCGAGCACTATGGCTCGGTCGCTAGAGGCTGATGTGACTGAGCACCATGGCTCGGGCGCTAACTACTGATGTGACCGAGCACCATAGCTCGAGCACGGGAGATTGATGCGACCGAGCTCTATGGCTTGGGCATTGGAGACTGATATGACCGAGCACCATAGCTCGGGCATTGGAGATTGATGTGATCGAGCACCATGGCTCGTGCGTTAGAGACTGATGTGATCGAGCACCATAGCTCGGGCACTGGAAACTGATGTGACCAAGCACCACGGCTCGAGCGCTGGACTTTGATGTGATCGAGTACCACAGCTCGGGCACTGGAGACCGATGTGATCGAGCACCATGGCTCGAGCGTTGACTACTAATGTGACCAAGCATCATAGCTCGGGTACTAGAGACTGATGTGACCAAGCACCATGGCTCGAGCGTTGACTACTGATGTGACCGAGCACCATAGATCAGGCACCGGAGACTGGGTTGTGTGATCAAGATAGATTCTATGAACAGATGCTAATGAAAGGGGGGCAAGATCATAATCTTTGGATGAACATTTAAAGGTGAGTTGCATGTGTCCTGCCTCAGCCAGGGTGCAGTCTCTTTTTGGCTCGTAGGGCCAGCCGGGCCCTGTCCAGATAAGCTGAGGTCCCACCAAACCTGCGAGTGAAGAGTCCTAAGTCCTGCACATGCCCAAACAGGAAATCTGGAGTTGGATGTCACCCACTGAATTAAAAGAATTGAAGAGTTGGACAGCCAATGTAGGAGAGATTAGGGAAGACGAGAGCTTAATTTTACAGTCTAATTTGATGTCTAGGTTGATTGTGGGTGATTGTGCACCTTAAAATATCTGATGTAGATGTTAAATATGGTTTAAGATCAAGTAAATTGTTGATCTCAATTTTCTGTGATGACAACAGATGAGCTAATAACAATTCCGTGCAACATGTGCCAATGAGATTACATGTGCAATGATGCTGATAAATCAAGTCCTATCGACCAAACCATGATCAAGAAATATAGATGATTGCTAATAATACTACTTATATTGACATACTAATTTACAATGACAAAATTTACCTCAAATTTCAAAAGCGCTAGTCATTGAATTGAATTAAAAGAGTTTGAGGATTGACAAACAGTAGTTGGATACTGATTCTGCAACTCACCCGAATTGCGACGCACGACTATATTGCAACAAGTCAGATAATATCAATGGATGACAATAAGGAAAAATGAGGATCGAAGTAAAATTGATGCAATTGGTTGCTGTGCATGCGAATTTGTATAGGACAGCTTTTAGAAATTTTTACTGAAGAAGTGCAATAAGTAGCATCATTACCACAGCAATAACACAATCAGGAATGCCCAAAATTATTTGATATAGCATACATCAATCTTTTCAAGATCTGTACAAGACAATAGTTTTAGATAAATCAAGTCAACTCTAATCAATAAAAACTGCACCGTTAGAAGAAAAAAAGTACACCGAACGAGGAAATTAAAAAAAAAAAGATGACAAGAGTCATTACCATCAGATCGTCAAAAATGGATATTAACCTTACAGAGAAAACAATATCCATGTAAATGACCACAAATACATTATAAACCTTTTGCCAAATTGATGAATGTCATCAAAGGAATCAGTGGAGTTACAAATAAACACAAGCCCACTGAAACATTATAAAAAACAATATATGAGTGCACAAGGGATTAAACTCCCTCTCTCAAACTGCCCAGCAAGAGAAATCCCCTTGGACCCATATAGCATGTATGATTTTGACCTGGCCTCATCCTTTTGGACCATTTCTGGAATCGGAACATTGTAAGGTATCTAAAGCACACAATCTGGTACAAATCTGAACCTGAAGGTTTAAAGTTTATAGGATCATTCTTCCAACCACTAGACATTCTCATCGATGCACACAGTTTATATGACCATTTTTCCAACCAATAGACTGTGTTTTCATCCGTCTCAAATGCAACACAGAAATATGATGACCAATGAAGATACTCTCCTTATTTAATGTTATACTCCAAACCTTGACAATCTCTGCACCGCTTGGGGATCTAGTGTGGACATGCACTGTTTCCATGCTCCATCTCCAAGCATCTAACAAGATAATGTACAATTTGTAATGTTAATTTGGAAAAATGCAAAGTAATTGTCATGTAAAAGAATGATCTGTACCTGTTTATAACCATTCAAAACTTGGCAAATCTCATTGTGCAGATCCTGGCTACGGATTTCCTTACAAAACAAAGAGAACAGAAGTCAGCCAGTAGATAAAACTAGTTCTAATTTGACATTATAGATTTTGTATGAGATCCTTACATGCCAACTAGCAACAGCTTTACACAAGTAAGCTAGCGAACTCACCACGCCAGAAGGATTCACTCTTACCTACAAATACCACAATCAATTTGAAGTCAACATTATTGATGAACATCATGAAAAATGAAAAAGAGATGAAGAAAAAGTTGGACATACAATTGCACAAAGCCCACGAAATGCATCCTCCTTTTCATAGTCATCTCGTATGCTGCACAGAATATCTTTATAAGAAAATCAAGAGAAGGTAAAGGAAGCCAATTGTCTGTCTAATTAAGTTATCATCTTTATAAAAAATTATTATACCTACTTGAAGTTTGGAATAACCACTTCATTGTATCCAAAATATTCTACAATATTTTGGAAATATCTAATAACAAGCATGTTCTACAATATCATCAGGAGATCAACACACTTTCCATGCAGAGTCTAAATAATTTAATATATTCTGGAGAAGTCAAAACTTTTCTTTTCACAAAAAATGAGAGTCTTGACAAATTTAGCACTTAGTAAGGAAAGCGACACAAGTTCACTTGATTATTAGGGTTAAGACAGGTTTTTCTCGTGTTTCTTGTGCACAATGGACAGAACAGAACTATAGGGGTATTCCTGAGAACTTGTTGCAAATTGAAATTAGAATATCCTCTTTATGAAGATTGGCAAGATGATTATTCAGAAGCCCAAAGAAAGCATTATCCTAGTTTATGGATTTCAATGAGAAGAAATTTCCCAAAAAATGTAGCTAACCAGAAAAAGTCAAATCCACTACCCGGCACAATCTTCTATTAGAATTTGGCATTCTCTACCAACAACAAGCATATAGTTTGGTCTCTCAAATACTGGGGATCCCTCTGAGGATATTTTCCTGCCAAGGAGATGTATTCAGGTAATATCACTCCTTAAACTACAGACACTTAATTACCTGGCTACCTCTGACTAAAATAAGGGATCTCCTGTAATCAATAATTCAAAAGCAATTTCTGCACGATTCCGATACACTCTTTGTTGCTATTTTCCTTTGAATCACCATATGCTACATCTCACAAGTCACAAGAATCGCAACACTCCCATCATCAGCCTAAAACCAAGCATATTTGATTCAATAACATTGGCAATTTACACTTGAAAATAACCATATAGTTAGTTAAGGATATTTATCATGTTTTGGAGAGATCCCTGGATAAATTATAGATTAATTCCCTTGGGACTTCTGGGACACTGCTCACTCCAGAAGAAAATTTAGATTTGTCATCAAATAAGTACTAAAAGCTACTTGATACTCTCCAAGGACACAAAAAAACAAGCAAAATAGAAGCTCAGGTATGCCGCAACTTTACTTTTAAGTCTAGACAGTTCTACATCAAAAGAGCATTTGATGGAACTCAACCTGCATCAATTTTTCATTTTGGACAACTCAATAAAAAATAGAGAATATTTGAGGATAGTATAAATAAATATTACTTCAATTCCATGGAATAAATGAATGTTTCAAACTTAAAATTGAAACATGAAGTTCAATGTTGGTCAGCAAAAAACAGAAACCATGAATGATATTCAACATATGAGATTTAAAATATAGTTCCCAATTAAAAAAATGAGATGCTACAGCTAATACAGTGGAGCAGTTGTTCCCACCCATGCAAAGCAGTAACAAGTTCTAAAAAATGGTACAATGCCACAAACTTAGGTAGCAGAGCAGCACTGGAAAAGCACATGATTGGGCATGCAACTGAGGCACTAGGCCTGAGTAGGAAAGGACTATGCCAACAGCGAGATAGTTTCCAGTAAAAAGAATTTAAATTCTCTTTTTGATAAAAAAGGACCTAAATCCCAGGAAGACATGTATAAAATCAGCCAAAAAGAGATTTTGGAAGCATGTATTCATTTTTACATGATTCTGACAATAGCATTTTGAAACTTTTACAAATATGAGCAGTCTTCACATGATGGAAGAGAGTAAGCAAAAGAGCAAGTCACAAATTTCTCTCTTGAAGATTGCATAAGATGACATAATAAGAACCACCATCACTTAACGTGTGTACATTTTAGAGACCTAGCAGTAATATCTCCAATAGTCCAAGAAATTTAATTTTTTGCCCAGACCGGTCCATTCGGCATGTGCCAAGACATGGACCGAATTTCGTATGGTCCAGTTGAATGGGTTTTTTAAAAAGGGAACCAAGACTATTTTGCCCTAAAACGCTTGTGAATCCTTACTAGCCCGTCTACCTTCTGTGCTGTCATGCTTCCTGATACACTCTAGTAATTCTTCTCCTCATACGACTACTCTTCCTCAATCGCTTCTCTTCTCCTCCTATTACTCCTACTACTTGTCCCAGAAGTACATGCCGATGTAACGTCTCGATACAGTGGCATGGACTGGACCTATGTCAGTTTGACCATGGACTGGCATGGGTCCATCACCAGAAATTTCATTCCTTGTAATAAAAAATAATTAAAATATAAGATGATTGATGCAAATTGTCAGATAAAGGTCGTGATTGATTTAGGGTTAAAGAGAATTTAAGTTGCTGGTTTTTTGTTTCACATGCCAAATGCTCTAGAGTTGAGAGTTATATTGACATGGTCTGAAGTGTTAAACCCGGAGAACATAAGATAACCCATCTAAATGGTAGATAAAAAAACCCTCCCTTTCTCTTTACTAAACCAGATAACCATCCTTTAGCAAAACGGAAAGTAAAAAATTACTCAGCCAGATTAAGGTAATTTAACAAACTCTGAAACAAATGCAGCTCAAGGAAACAAAATTCCATCTTAGTATTAAAGGTTGAAAGAAAGGGTAAAACTATAAGATGACTTATTCATACCAAACTACAGAAGTCATTTTCTAGAAAAGCAGAGATATTTTTACATGCATAAAGTGGTACACCATGACTGTATGAAGTGTTCCACATGTGGTGCCATGAGTTCCGGACAAACCCAGGCAAGCCTCCCAAGAGTGATAGCACTGTTTTCCAGCAATGACTTGTTCAAACCCTATGATTGAACAAGAAAATCAGAAGATAAACTGAGCTAAAAATGATAATAAATCAGAATAGAGTAAACGTCTCACCTCTGCGTTTTGGAGAATAGGGACCAAACATGATATTACTGCTAACACAACTGGAGCAATTTCTTGATGAACCTGAAATTTGGTAGCAGAAGCAGCATTAAGGACCATTATTTAAAATCATACACATCTAAGAATATCAAAGAAAAGCTACTGAATCTGATCAGATGGCCATTATTCCTGTGTTGACAAGGTAGTGTAGATTATGATCAACATTTTTGTGGCTTATGTCAACTTTCACACAATAGTAAATGGACCAGAATGAAAATGGCTTAATGAAAGAAAACGGAGTATCATCATCTCACATTTTTTATGCATCTTTTTTTACCATAAACAATAACGGAATGCCCAGAATGTACACCTTAAGTGCTACTTGTTAGTTGGTAAACTGCTCTACCAAGTGGTCCAAGATATGTTTAAATAATTAAGTGAGCAAAGAAACTTATGTACCTAGTAGTAGTTATGCAAAAAAAAAAAAAAAAAAACACACAGGGCAAGACATAAGAACAGAAAAGTATTTTTTTTTCCATAGACTTAGTATCAACTATGTAAGGGACAAAATAGTACATATTGGTAAGACTTATAACATAATTATGGAGAACAACCAACAATAAAAATGTTTTAACAAAAAATTCCAACATATATGACAATTAAACCAGCAATATATTTGAAAAACATGTCACAATCTGGATTTTGTTGCTTGTAACAGAATATATTTTATAATAATACAACAACAACATGCCATAATGTACCAACAAAAATACATTTATATAGTGGAAGTAAATAATAAAATGAAGAGGAAACGACGTAAGCAGCCAAGTTGAGTTGAAAGCACGCCATATGTTCAAGACATACAGGAATTTCTCCAATGGAAAATCAGTGGTCTTGAACCATGACCTTGCTTAAGTGATACTTGTAGTGTAAACATCATCTATTGCAGCTAAATATGTTCCCCCATGAAACAACTGCCAAAATGGTGAAAAATGTTGCACCATAATTACTCTACTAAAATGGTTGAAATTTCTGATGATTACAGTAATGGAATTTGTTATGCCCGAATTTTTACTAAGGGTATTTTGGTAATTAAGATTTTAAGTTTGGAAGATTATCCTAATTCGATCTGAAGTTGGAATTATTTAGATAAAAGAGTTAGAAGCCGACCAATGGCAGGGAAAGAGTAGCAGATGGTGGTGGCATCACCAGAAAGAGATAGGTATCTACTATTTGTGTTTTTTATTTTAAACCTTCTTGTAAGTATTCTTGCTTCCTTATCATGATGTTAAAACCAACCAGTTTGTTCTATCTTGATGCATCTTTTAATTCGAAGACAGTAAAGACAAGTTTTAGCTAAGAATATATACAAAGTACAGTTATGCTGATATGAGAATCCCCTTTCTTTTGTGATGCTTCCATTGTGTCTTGCATATTGATGTCATAGAAAATTATTTTGTCGAAGACAATAGAGATGTTAATTAATCTCTGATCATATTGTTTCTTTGTATCCTCTTGCAAGGAATGATTTGATATTCTTCTTTATTCCAAGGATGTTAACAAAAAGGCCCATTTGTAGACATGCCACAACGGACTGGCCTGCACCAAAGTGCAGCACGTGCTGCAGCTTTGACTGGGTTACAACTAATCCAATCCACAGCCTAGACCATGCTGGAAACTAGCCCAGCTCCTGGCTTTGAACCAGACCCATACTCGTTCAACCAGTAGCCTAAACCAAGGCCTAAATTGGGCCAGCTTGCTGACCAAGACTGCACCAGCACACAACAGGCCTGGCGTGCGTCAGTTGAGCCTGCAGCCTTTAACCAGGTTGCCAACCAACCAGTCCACAACCCACACCAGTCCTGAACTGGTCCAGCTTGCAGAGTGCAATTCCAGGATAGCAGGAGTGGTCTACCAGGGGCTAACTGTGAAAAAATTCTACTCACTGTCCATGAAAGGAAATGCTGAATTTTTTATAATATCATTATAGATTGTCCAATGCTATTCTGGATTGGCCTGGGTTGGCAAGTTCTTGGTTGTATAGGCTAGGACACCTGGCATGTACATACCATGCCCAAAAGTTATTGAAATGCCTCCATGCCACAAGCACCAATCATGTAGATGACCCCAAATATGTGGGACACTATGGCTTTTTGTTGTTTCTGATGTTATTGTTACAAAAAAGAATTCTACGTTGATATTTATCCAAAAGGATGATAAATGACTTCTAGCCCCTCTCTTAATTTCAGAACATAAGCACAAGTTTTCTAGACAGAACACATAAGATCAAAATTACATGATTAGTATCACAATATGCACTGACCTGAACAGCCAATTCTCCAATGGCCCAACAAGCATTATTTGCCACTGATACAGCTTCTTTAACCGCAGCAGCACTCTGCCATGAGAAAATTATGTTAGGAAAGGACATTAGAAAGGTTATTCTCTGTCCTTCAATAATGTATTTCCCACCAGTTGTTCGGCTGCAACACTTAGGAAATCTGCTAGACGAGGATGCAGGTGGGCTGGACAAACCTGACTTGTTGCAAAAGTTAAATACATCTTAGTACACATCATTAAGAGGGAACAATCTAACATATGATGACCAGCAAAGTTGAAAGTTTGAAAACTCACTCTTGCAAGATCACCCAGAAGTGCAAAGGCACTTTGCCGAATATCAGCTATCTGATCCATGCAACATTGTAAAAGAAGGTCTCTCAAGTTGGACTTTGCAACCTAACAAACAACACTGGACAATGTTATCTCATCTGAAGTAGAATTCAGCATTTGTTCTAATTCCACTTATAAATAATATAAACCATTTGTGCTTAACATTTAGAATAACATGAAATATGTGTCCTGCCCCTCCCTTTCCTCCTCTGCCACTAAAAAAGGTGGAACATGTTTCTCTATGCCAAAAACTATGGTAGATTTGATAACTATAAGATTATGGCTTATATCATAATATAAAAGGACATCTTTAAAAATCCCTTTTCTCTTCTTCTTCCTCCCCTCCTTTCCCTCCCCCAACTGTATTCCAACGTACTAACACATGGTATGATGGAACGTATTGGACCACAACCAGTCCAGCCATGGACCTGCATGGGTCGATAACTGAAATTGAATTCCTTGGTGTAAAATACTATTGGGTTAGGTGTCACCTTAAACAATAGATTGATGAGTTAAAATCGAGCCAAACCACAGAAAAGTAGACTGTAATTTACCCTTCCACTGTTACATGCAAAATGCTGGACAGATCAATGAAGAATTAATTTATTTCAAATATATGCATATACATCTTTTTGCTGCAACATGCTTACAATTAAAGTTCAAAAAGAGGAAACTGCTAAAGAATTAGCCAAAAAACATACCAGGCTCTCTATCCCACCACCCAAGCCTTCAGCAAGCCCTGATAAAAGGTCTAGTGAGCAGACAATGAACTCTTTATCATATTGGACACCAGCTGTGACATGGTCAACCTGAATTTTGTAGCACTAAAAATGTCAGGGTGACTGAAACTAAATCCCATTGTTCAATAAGATTTGATGATGACTATCATAACACAACGTAATTGAATGATATTAGTCATCATTATAGACAATATGGCTATGTTCCAGAAGTTTCTCTCTTGAGAGAAATAAAGATAAGATAATAATCATAAGTGAAATATAAATTAATGAATGAAGAGAAATTTCAAGTATGTTCAATGTTGACAATCAACACATGTATCTAATTCAAAAGCTTGTCATATTAGATGGACCTTTTGACAACACCTTTATCTATGATGATACAATCACCAGCATAAGTGGACTATCCAATAGGCTACCTTCCTTAAAATGCACTATACTAAAAATATGCACAGAGAAAACACCAAAATAAAGCTCTTTGCAACCCTTAAAACTAACATGGCTCTCTCGAGATATAAAACATGCATGACTAATGCATCCACTATAATGTATTATTGGGCATTAAAACTTAACTCCCGAGCTACACCAAAAAAGAACAATAGATGGCATAATATGAAGTCATTACTAATCCTAATTACATTGACCAAAATGTTGATCTTTGCAAATATGGCCTTTTTAATGTTCTGCTCCGAGGGTGATGTTTTATGATAAAGTTAGATGGTTGAAATTTAGTCTTTTTCCCAGTAAGGCTTATCCATTATAAAGAGAAGGCAAGTAAGCTACAATAAAAGGTGATTTTGCAAAAAATATAGAGAAATAAGATACATGGAATGTAGATTGTCTATAAGAATGATAACCAAGATTAAAGTTACACCAACTTCCTCATACCTATAATTAATACAAAGTCAGAAATTGAACACAGCCATAGGTAAAGAATTATATATGAATTGTACAAACCAAGCATAATAACATGTGTATTATATTTCTCTTTGTATTTCATCCATTTCCAATTTTTACCATTATAGTTAAATTATAAAGGGGAGAAGAAAGTAAATCTGACATACAACCTGAAACGGTACGAAATGAGTGGTATGTACCAGTCCACTAGTTAACTGATTTGCTGACCAGCCCATTTCGGACAGTACACTAAAATATGGCCCCATATCAGTTGATACAAGGAATGCATTGGCCGATATAGTCGAAAACTATCCTGTATCAATTGGTACGGGTCGCTACCAATTGGAATTTGACTGATGCCAACCCAAATCGGGTCTACTTTGACTCCAATGGTCAAATTGACTGTTGGGGCCACTTTTGGGGCTTTAAATCCCCCTCTCTTCCCCCACTTTCACTCACTCTCACTTACTCTCTTATTCTCGCTCTGGTTCTCACTCTTTCTCACACTCTTACTTGTGGTTAAAGTTCCTAATCGGATGATTCAAGATCAATGAAAGCAACTTCTTCCCATGCGACAAAGCTGTTCCTCAACATATTCGAATAGATAAATTCAATTATTCCACCTCATAACCTATCCATTTATGGCTTAGACACACTTTATTCTTATCTAAATATAATTTATATACCAATAGATTAGAAAAAAAAACTTTTATTGATCATTTTCTGACCTTTTTTCTGAAAATCAGTGTTGATCGGTATGTACCAATCCGCCCAATGACCAATTCCACTAGTCAATACGACAAGGCAATCCTTGGTTCTATTAAATAAGGAAATGAAAACATCTCATTCTCCACATATTTTTAAGTTGAAGGCCATGGATTTCTCTATTGTGAGTTGGAAGGCGAAACCATCCAAGAATCAAGGTTCGTAATTTCGTATCGTACCGGTGTTTCGAGCTTTACTCAGTACAGTATGGTATAGTCATATCGAGTGGTATGCTAGG